CTATCCGGTTGGTGTAGGCCGTCCTGCAGGGTGTTGGCGGCAGCATGGCATTTCTTGCTATCGCTGCTGCCTTTGAGTCTGTTTCGCTTTGCTCCCTGTATCAGCCGCTTGTTTCTCTTCTTGCTTTCCTTGTAAGTTGGTGATCTTGTAATCCTGGCTGGTTGATGGCTTTGTTAATTCAAAGCCGGGCTCTCTGCGAGCCTTCGTTCTAAGAGAACGAAGGCTCGCAGAGAGCCCGGCTTTGAATTAACAAAGCCATCTACCGGCCAGGAATTACAACAGACAACCCAACTTACAACGGTCAGAACGATACAACGGGGAACACTGGAAAGCCTACTCACTACAACCTCCACAAGCTGCAATGAATTGCAGCTAGCAAAGGCCGAGCACTCCACAGCAGGATCATATGCAGCAGAAACAGAGCAGCACAGCAGGACATAGCCGACCTTCGAGGATGGACCGCGCTCCACGAAAACCTAGAGAAGAAAGGAAACCAACATCTTCCCTCTCAATCACCGAAGAGGGACCGTTCCCCCTTGCCATGGCTCGTAGGTGCCGTACCGTCGGGATTTCGAGAAACTCACCCTAGAGCTGGAAGATTGTCGCCCTCGCATCGCAAGGTGGACATAGGATGACCACATCGATTTGGGATATATCTCGCCGGCTGCTCCGCCACAGTCCAAGCCCAACTAGGTGGAGACAAGCTTCAAGGAATCAGACGACGCAGAGGTGGTAGCTCAATCCCTCACGTGCATAACCTCCCGACCGAGCCCCTCACCCTTGACGACGCCTCCAGCAAGGTCACGACGTGCAAGGCGCCGCCGCCGCCAAATCCCCCGAGGATAAAGGTTTTCACCCTAGCAGGGGTATCGGGGTGGAGAGCAGGGGACCTCGGCTGCGCCCCCATGGAGGAAAGCAGCGCCCTTGGGCGTTGCCGCCGCCGGACCGGCCAAGGTTTCCCCCGGTACCCTAGCTGACCACCAACACGCACCAACGCCGGAGCTAGACGCTAGCCCACACCGGAGGCGAGAGCGAGGCAGCAAGGGATAGGGATTTCGCACCTCCAGATCTGACGAACAAATCTTCTTGCCGCGTCCGGATTCCACCAGCCACCCGCCGCCCGCGCGGCCGGGCACGCTGGCCAGCACCCCCTGCGAACGCCGCCCACCGCCCGACGACGTCGCCTCTCCGGCAAGGGCCGCCGCCCCAGGAACCACGGGCCTCCAAGAGGGGAAGGAACGCCGAGATCCCTGCCGCCACCTTCACCGGCGTCCGCACGGGTTTCCCGGCGGCCATCTCTGGTAGCGGCGAGGGGGAGGAAGGGGGTGGAGGGGGGTGGCGGTGGCGGCGGAACCCTAGTCGCCCCCGAGTCACCCAAGGGGACGACGCGAGGGCCGGAAGCGTTTTTACTCGAGTCCTTCCACTACAGATTCCCATCTACTCCCTCCGTTCGGAATTTACTTGTCTCGGAAATGGATGTATCTAGAACTAGAATACATCTAGATACATTCATTTCTACGACAAGTAATTCCGAACGGAGGGAGTAGTTAGTTGGGGGTGCACATCTATGTTTTTTGGAACCTCGTAATTTCACGTGCCCTCATTTTTTGTTACCACAACATCCATCGGTACATTACCCCTTTTTGGCAATTAACACCCATCCTTTTTTCAATACTCATCATTTCACGTGTCGCCATCGCACATGGGCCAGCCAAACTACCTCGACTAATCCATTGTACTGCTTCACACCTAGCTCAATGCCATGAACGGCGGACATTCTCCGAGAGATCTCCTCTCGGACGCAGATGAAGGTGTGCCGATGGAACATGAGGTTTGTGGGTGAGGTACACCAGCACAAGAGGGAACCTAGCACTAGCAGTACACAGGCTTTGCAGTACTAGCCAGGAAACAAGATGCACGTATAGCAAATCGATCAAGCATGCATGTAGCCTAGCAACAGGTCATGTCGCTCCTGGCTATCTTTTTTATAGTATAGCCATGGTTTGTCACCTGGTTGGTCATGTGCGCGCAAAAGTGCTAGCCTAGCATGAATGATTACTTTCCCGCAAAAAAAAAAAAGCATGAATGATTACTACTGGACGAGGCTAATGACCAGATATAGCGGGAAAATAAATATGATGAGGAAAGGTACTATCAGTTATTGTGGGGCCCGTAATTGTGTGTGCACGTTGTAGTATGTCAAATGATTGAGCGAGTTGCGGGGCCCTCCCGTCCGGCACGCAGCATCGGCGGCAGCTCCGCCCGATCCGCTCCACTCCACGTAGGCCACCCCGCCCTTTCTCAGCCACCTCTGGAGGGCGTCCATGGCCACTGCTGGGTGCTCATGCCCTCGCCGGCACAGGGCTGGTCGAGGACGCCCTAGTCGAAGTCGCAGGCCGATGGCGCGAGTGGCAATGGGTGAGGGAGAGGGCGGCGGTGGGCGAGGCTTTGGGAAGTCGCCGGGCAAGCGTGCGCCGGTGGATCCGGTCAGTGCATGCGGACACGCTCGAGAGTTTGGGGAACCAGATCAGCTAGATGAGGCTATGGATGCTCTAATCGTTTGGCTGGGATTCCAAGCGCTAGCTAGGTAGCTCATTCTCCAAAATGCCCCACTCAAATTTTGACTACATGACTACATACACATGCAGGTCCAGAGAGGAAGGACATGATCATATGACACGCACCAGTTGTTAGTTCGCTAAGATATTTTTTCTGGATTGATTTGATTAGATGAGAAATCAACAAGGTACAGACTAATAAAGTTATAGAAAAAAATCAACATACACGACATTAAAAATAACTTAAAGTAAAACAAAACAACTATTTATATTAGTTCCTTGATTAAGGGACCAGGATTTGCTGGTTTTGAAATTAAGGTACTATTTCTGCACTTTTAAAAGAATTAAGGGACGAAGAATATACTTTTCCCATAAAAATAAATTGAGTACCTCATTCCTCCACAAGAAAACACTCAAAGCTATCCTCTTCCTTCCATCGGCACCGCCATCGGTCCGCCC